TATATATATATATTTTTTTTTATTGGTTACAAGAGAAGAAAAAGTAAAATTCAAAATGTGTGCTGTAGTGTAGTGCAAAAATGTTGTGTAATATATAGGCTCCGTGCACAAAAAACCCCAACGCTAACTTGTAGCTGGATAATGAGTCCGCGTGGTTACGAGAATACACGGAGTAGCATGGTTGCCTAAAGTCGATAATTTTTTCATAATAATGTCAATAATGCAATCTAACAATTGCAAAATCTTGTCATGCATTGAAAGCACAAATATAACCGCTCGTATAATTTTTCGCTAAAATTTTAATGTTATGTTTGTGCTGAAATAATTTTGTTTCAATTACTTTTTAAAAAATAGTGTTTATTAAAATTATTTCTATACACGAATTAGCATGACAATTCAAAAAAAAGAAGCTGTCGAAGTATTTGATACAACATTATTAAGGTTATTATCACAAACGTATTTTGCTCATCTGCTAAAAAAATAAAGTTACCGTAAGGTCAATAGTGATGGGCAAAAAAGCTTGTTTCCCTAAAAGTATGCAGTATATCTATGGGAAAAAAAAAAAAAATTATTAAAAGTGCTCATAAGTCGCAGTCAATCTCCATTCACACGTGAGTATATATTTCAGGACCAAAAAATTTACAGACAAGTTAGCCTGACATATAGATATACTTACCAATATGCTAAGCAACTAATACGTTCACAAATTCCTTGATAAGAACGTCATTGTTTTATCTACGTCACTTGCACTTCTTGAGTGTTATTAACATCCCAACCGAATACCAGCTCCGTGGTCGAGTGGGCTAAAGCTTGCTTTGAACATTTCGACGGCGGATGACTGGAGGAGGCGTGGGTTCGATTCTCGCGACGAGTGCATCGGAAAGGTGACGATTTTTTCGGTGTTTTAGCTCGGCCAGAATATAAAACACGCCTCCGACGGGGGTGGTGGGTAGAAATTAAGTTGTGTACTTACCAACTCTTAGTCAGTAAGTGCGTAGATTAACAATAACAGCGAATTCTGCGTTAAACAATGATAAGTAGTAGTACATTGAGGGTCAGTAGGAGATTCAGCTGTATGATAGGATAGGGTAATTCATATAAATTTTCTACATCATTCAACACATTATTTGTATGTAAAAGGGAAACCTTATATTTTGGGCACTCAATTATTATTATTATTCTTTCAGGGTAACTTTGCATCGCTAGGATAAAAGATGGTATTGTTATACTTTCCTTTTGTATTTCTTGTAAATTTAAGGTGGCTTGGGCAATTGGTACCGTACCTAGGGCAGTAGGGTACCATAAGGGCCCCTAAAAAATCAACGCTTTTCGTCGGTAAATTTTTTAATTAATATAATCATTTTGATAAAAGTAAAGTACAAGATCAAGAAATTGGCAGAAAAGTACCGTGAAATTATAATTGTTGAAATTGGGAGGTGTTGCGAGGCAAGCCAGATTAATATTTCATACTTTTCTTCTGATTTTCTCTCAAGTTAAGTCGTTGACCCTATATTTTTAAGAATTCAATAGATTCTTTGTAAAAAAATACACAAGAACTATTTTAAATTTTTGAGGGTAATCAAAGATTTCTGAAGATATAGTCAATTTTGTAACCACTGTCCATAAGAGTAGGTGTTAAATTGGTGAATTTTCAGTAGCGATTTGCGAAAAAATCAAGTCGTAGAGCCCAGTGTTTTACCATCGCAAATGAATTTGGCATACTTTATTTACCTATAATTCCAGAATTTCAGAGGTTTTGATCAAGCCGATGAAAATCGCCTAAGCCACCTTAAAAATGAATTCTGTTGAGTAATAAGCAATTGGATGCACAAATCATAATTACAACTATTTAACCAATGATTATTGAAAAATGGTAGGAAGCACAAGAAAATTTGCATCAACATGAGTATATTCTTAAAGCTATGAATTCCACTGCCTTTTTAAAAGAATTCAACGGAACGAACTGGGTCACTCTCAATGAGTACGTAGAATCAAAAAAAAATATTGCACTGATTAAGAATTTTTTGCATTTCAGGATCCAGACTTGTGCATATCGCTGGGCATGAGCTTGCAATACCTGCGCGTCTCGGTCGTATGCTGGCTGGCAGCCATGTGCCATCACCTGTACGCGACTGTTGCTTCGATGCCAAAATGCGACGAGCCCCCGACCTACCTCAAGTACAGCGTGTTCGCTTGGGGTGCACCTCTTGTCAGCCTGGTCGGCGCCGCCCTGCTCCAAGTGCACGAGACCAACGACATATGGAAGGTCAAGGACCTCATGCCCTTCAATTGCTGGTAATTTTGACCATCTTTTCTTTTTGCTTCTGCGGTGAGGACCTCATTTGACTCATCGTGCCGTTATCATTTTTCATTAGTGATACACGTTCGCAGTACGGTAGACGCATCGGAGATAACTCTTAGAGGTTTTAGGCTAACGATGAGTTCTTCGTCGTTGGGAAAGATAATTTCTACTGGCAAAACTGTGGACCAACTGATTAGGTCGTGTGACGATTATAGAGATGTTTTTGTGTAGAGGTTGAGAAAAAGGCTGAAAATGGAAATTATTTTACAAAGAAATTTGTCTCGTAGATAATAGAACTCGAACCTTTCAGTGTTCACTCGACACTTTTGTATTATTGTTTTTTTTTTTGTTTGTTTTTTTTTTCAATGTATTTTTAATGAAAATCTCTTTTATGATACAGCAACTTTTTAATGATTCATTCAATAACGGACTTTGACTCGTATCTTGACTAATTTATGTAATCTTCCTACAATTTATTCTCACCTTACTAAAAGTTGTTGAAATCTTCTTATAGGATATCAAAAAACAATTTTAATATCATTATTGAATACAAAGACATAAAACTAACTGTGAAGTTTCCGACGTTTCAACTTTTGATGTAACATAAAGATTTTACCTTGTATTTGTCACTAAAGTAAGACAAATTACTGAATTAAATTGTGAAATTTTTCCATTCTTTAACTGAATGCTGCAAATAGTGAGTTCAGTGTCATTCCTTAAAATCAGAAATCCATTCTATCAGTAAAATTTATTTTAAATAAAAATACTTTTAATATCCATATTTATATTCACAAGAACCTTACCTGTTTAATGTACAGTAACCCACTGCAGCCCAAGACCTTATTTAAAAAGCTCTTCTGTCCTGGCTTGTACTTCTTACCCTAGTATTTTTTAATACTTACTCTTCTGTATTGCATATTTTCTATTCTTTAAGTATACATGATTGCACAAGCAGCAAAAAAATCCACGTGAATATATTTTCACAGTATTCTTCATTCTGATTCTTGATCCCTTAAACAGTTCTGGATTTTCGCTGGCAACGTTTTCCCGCGACACACTCATGTGACACGATACTGGATGTGATCTGTGAATTGCACTTGACAAAATATACGCGTAACTATGCAAATGTAAAGAAGAAAGAAAAGTTATGACGTTGACTCCATATTGACTGAATGAGTACGAAAAGATATCATATTTAATTAATTAATAAACTACTTCAAATCATTTTTGTAGCATAGAATTCGGATGAAGCATCTTAATACCTAAGCCAAGTAAACTGAAAACATAGACATTTTCGTTTGGGTTCTGATACCACATTTGCAACTTATAAAAGCTTCCGGATGAAAGGAAAAACGCACGATTTCGAATCCCAAAATCTCTTCCTGGCACTAAATATGTCATATTATATTGTCTATTCATAATACGTATTTTATATTAATGTTTGATGTGAGAATATAAAAGCAGATGTTCAAGGATGAATATGGTACTGGTTTTCATGCGTTAAATTTTAGTTTGATACATATCACTTTGTTCGTCAAGTAAACAATATTTAATATTGATCAATGATGACCCTTCGTTAAAAAATGTTTGATATGAGTACGTGTACATTTATGAAAAGTAAATCACGTATTTTTATTACTTTTTTCAGACAATATTTACAATAAAGGATACTATTGTTACTACTGATTTTCAGATGTTTGACATATTCTATAGAAGGCATCTCATAATACTTCTGTTAAAAATCTTTCTTTGAATTTTTTAATACTTAGCTAATGACAAACTGAACAAAAGTCAAACAAAATGTATGAGTAATATCACTGTACTAGTCTTGCTCATTCTCCTCTTGTTTCTTTTATTTTTTTTCTTCTTTTTTTTTCACACGGAAAACCTATAATTTTTACGTGTGTTTTTCTTCTATTTGCAGGTTTTTAGGGGCAAAAGCGACTGTCTACGCTTACGGCACGCCAGTAACATTGCTGCTCCTAAGCTCGGGATACTACCTCCTTAAAGCAGCCATAGTAGCCAGGTAAACCTGTCCCTTAAATGCCAACCCTACTAAAAAATTACTTACCCCATGATAAAACCACTGTTCCTTTTCTAAGGAGATAAGTTTTTATTTTTTTCCCCTATACGTTACAATCAAAAAAAAAAAAAATATGCCAACAGGTATACGTGCAGTATGGAGCTAGAGATAAAACAGCGAGAAAAAATGAAGCGCCGACGAACGCTGCAGCTGATGCTCTTCCTCAAAGTCAGCCTTATCATTGGCCTAGTGGCTGGCTGTGGGGTAGCCTCACGTGTCTGGAAGATGCCGCTTCTGTGGGCAATTTTCTGCACTGGCCACTCGCTGCAGGTCGATTTTTCGTTTCTCACGCTTTTGTATACCCTCGTTTTTAAATTTTTTGGCAAAAAAAAATACATTTCATCAACATTAAAAAAAGTTTGAATCAGGTGAATACAGAGGGAATGGTTTTTTAATTTATTCCTTTATTTAATGTATTTATCTAAATGTACTCATTATGATGCATAAAAAATCTGAAAACAAACACGAAAATTGTTTATCCGAACAATGAACATACACTTTCGAGTACACTTTTGTGTTATTCAAATTGATACTACCGTAAGCTACATCGTTGTTTATATCAACGTTTATTTCATCTCTTTAAAATCCCCATCAACGTAAAAATTAAAAAGCCATCCTCAACGAAGGCCATATGCTAAAGCTTTCCCTCTGCTCGGTTTATCCAAGAGGGCTCGTCCACACAACAATCAAAGAGAAGCGGAAACTCCACAACTTTATAGTTCTCGATACAAATCCCGCACTTCTGTCTTCTTAGTTTGTGGCTTACGCGTGTGCATAATGCACATGCCCCGTGTCGACACACAAAGTATTCTAAAACTTTAAATTTATTCTCCAACAGGGTCTTGCCATTGCCCTATCCGTGGCCTGCAATTGTCGAGTCCTCAAAGTATACTCGAGAAAATCTTACAAACAGCCGAAGCACCAGGTATCTATACTATTTTTTTTTGTTCTTTAGGTGTACATTAAAATAACTTTTTTCCTTTAAACTCTATATTTTGTATAAAGTCCATATTTTTTTTAACTTTGAGTATTAAATATCATAACATTACTAAATATGTTTTCATTAAGAATATAAATGTAACCAACTTATACATATTTATTTTTTTCCATGTGTATTTTAATGTGTCCATTACAATTGAATTCGACACATTTTATATGCGTAACATATAAATCCCGATATGTATATAAGTATACTATACATCTATCTATCTGCATGTGTGTACTATGAAAGGATACACATACATATATTTTTATATCTGATAATTATTTTTTTTTGAGACCATAAACTGTCATAAAAATTGCTACAAAAAAACAGCATTAAAAAATCTCTCCGATATACGAAGACAATGTATTAATATAGACAAAATATCTATTAATCGGTTTAAATTTTTTTTTTCAGATCGCCAAGTCATCAAGTATGCAGCTACTTGCACCTGCTCCGGACCCGGTCTAAAAAAAAACGGAAATTATGGATGAAAAAAAAAAAAAAATTAACAACTGAATACTTTTGTACATCACTAACACTGATAAATGTTGTTATTGTTATTTCCGTGATGCTGAGAAATTTTTAGGACATGTTTTCCGTTGGAAACTATTCAGTAATATTATGAAATAAATATCTTTTGTACGATTGTTAAACTCAATAATTTATCAAGGAAGAAAAAACAAACTCCACGTAATAATCAAAGTTGTTTCTTAATTTAAGCAATACTATAAACACTCGACATTGGATAAAGTGTTTATCTTACAAGTCATGATTTTTGTGGTATTTTTATATAGAAGTCGGAAGCAAAAATTTCTATGTAACGAAACAATCAATTTACAAGAATGAGTACTCCTTGCACATATTATATACAACAATCATATTTCTATCGTGATTTTAAAGATAACGCAATATTAAAACTTACCAAGGGTATTTGACTTGTATTGATAAAGTCGAAACAACCATATGGGTATTATCTGTTACTCAACCTCATGGCAGCATATTCATTCAGATTTTTTCAGTATCAATTCAAAAGCACTACTATTATTTAACTTTATAGATTCAGGCAATTTCTATCAATTACAACAAACTCCAAAATAGCTTATAACAATTATTGTTAATTTTATTGATATAAAAAAAAAATTTCATGATTGGTCGCACTAACATTACTTTTTATTGATGCGACAATTTCGGCTTATTGTGCCTATTCCCCCCTTTTTCTGTTCTCTGATTAAATTTTGTAACTGATTTGATTATTTCCCACATAAGCTAGATAACATAATATTTTTTGATTTCTAGCTACCTTACCTCTACGAGCCTGAAGATAACTAATAGCTTGTCATTAAAACAAAGAACAAAAATAACGAAGCATCGCTACATACAATATTTATTTAATTTAACTGCTTATAGTGCTTATACGTACTAATTTGGCACTGGCATACATCTAGAAGTCAACCCGTACACATACATATATGGGATAATAAGAAACAGTCGATTTTTATTTATTAATGCAACACTCGGTTAAATCAAATGAGAATCTCATTGTTGAGTTATATCACTCATTATGTAAATATATATTCGTGTGTTTGGAATAAATTTTCGAGATCCACAATAATGGATAGTAGATTATACAAAAGTTTCTGTTAATCCACATAACATTTTAACGAAAACGAAAGAATAAAGTCAAGAAGAAATATCCTGACATTTATTGAGTATAACATTAAGAAAAGTGAATTAAGAATATTAAGATTTCAACTATGAAATCTTTATTGGACAAGTAATTTAATTTTTTCCAACCATTTTTTTTTTCATTTGTGCTGATAAATGATTTTAGAAATTTGGTCATACTTTCCTTAACCATACGGTTAGGGTGACGAAAAGTTTAACGAAAATTCTTAATTTAACTGATGAAAATCTAATTCTAAGTAATGAATGTTTAAACCATGTAACCCAATAACCCCAATAACCCAACCCCCACATGGGATTCAATGGAGCTAGGGATCCCATTGCACATGGGATTTAATGGAGCTAGTAGAAACGTTACTACATAAACTTGCTATTAACTCGTCAACATATTATAAGCCCATTCACTCATGTCCGTTCGCGTTGTTTGATTTTTCAACGCCAAAATTCATATCCGTGCATGTGTATGTACGTGTGATTTTGTGGGACAAAAATATTCGTTGTTGTTGCCACCGCATTTCAATAGATACAAAAATGTACTAATGTTTGAAATAATAAGAAAAATACCAAAACTACAGCTCCAGTCAAACTAATAGTACTGCATAGTTTTCCAACAAATTTTTGCAACCGTATTTCAAAAAATAAAATCAAACAATGGAAATCAGAGAATCAGATTCGTGCACGCAAATTGCGTTACACCCACGTATTTGTGAACAGATTTTTTCAAAATCGCACAAAATTATGATTTGCATCTTGCCATGTACGATTTTTTACGACATGAACAAAAATATCTATGATTTAAGAAATTTACGTCATATTAATAATTAACAATTAAAAAATTACAAGTGCAACTCACGCGATAAAAGTTCACACTTGGATGTAGCTTTAAACAATAAAAATGTAACTATTAGTGGTAATTATGAATGATGAAAAAAATGATTGTATGTTGCAGTAGTAAACTACAAACCATTGCAACGACCAAGAAATTGATTTTCAATCACACTTTTAATTAATTTAAACTTAGTGTTTTTCCGTGAGATCTTTAAAAATTTTTTTGTAATCTACATAGTGAGCGGTACATGATTAACGTACTAAAGTCAACATGAATTTCTCACGAATAATGAGAAATTCCATACTCTTATTTAAATATAGTAAATAATTATGGATACGATCAGTATCTCGGACAATATGAGCAAGTAAACAAACATAATAATTGAGCTATCCAAAATTTATGTAAACATAAACATTTTTTCTTCCGAATCACGTGTAGGAAATTTTGTACTGATGAAAAATATTTTCCATTCTATTAGAAATATTAATAAGTTAATTTTTGGTACAATTAGAGAATAGTTCATCGAATGAAAGTTGAAAATATGATCGATGACTATAATAAGATTTTAAAATATGAAAAATTTTGTTATAACTTACCATTATACATTAAAATTAAAAAAAATTATTGAAGCACTTGATGAAGAATGTGTGTTGATGGATTCCAAACTTTTAAATCTTGACACACAATTTTTTAATTTGTAAATAAAATATTTTGTTGTAAACGCCAGATCAATGCATCCTGAAAATTTAAAACTCAAATATATCAGGGCTAAACACCTTATCATATTTTAATCATACTTAAATGCTTCATGCAACAAAAAAAGTAAGAATCAAAAAAAATCTTCAATGTGCAAATACTTATATTTTTTAGACTTTTGGAAGACTTGTAACTCAAAAGGCGAATACAAAATTGATCAAAGTTTTATTTAATAGGTATATATTTATGGCCATGATATTTTCACAAGTAAAAAATGTAAATAAAGGAGGAAGAAAAAGGTGTCATATAAATATAAAACATATCAATAATTTTAGATTGTAACCAAAAAAAATTATTTTTCGTCCTTTGGGCACATGGCTTTGCGCTCTAGGGCACATTTTGCGCCCTAATTAACTTTGTGCCCACCAACAGAAATTAGAATTTTAAGTCCACCCTAGGGTGCAAACTGTGCTCCTAAAGGCAAAACAGCCCTTTGGGCTCTTGATACAAAAATACATTTTGCTACTTGGGCCTAAACGTGCAACAATCGCGCATTTTGAGCGTAAAAATGGACTTTTGCGCCCATGGTACAAAATATGTATTGTTTCTGTTTCAAGATTGGACTTTACGTAATTACATATTATAAGCATACCAAACTAATTCTATGCTACGATGACATCGTTTCATTAACACGTATGATTCCGTTAAATTTACTTATATCGACTTGAAATTCAGTATCTTACATGCATAAACGTGTGCATGATGTTAATGGTAATATATTGGTATACACAGTTTTAAGATGTATTTATACTTTGAGCGAGAACAAGATAGCTGCACTTGAGTTAAATTCCAAGTTCAAAGTGTAATCTCACCAAAGCATATTCATCGCACTGTAGACGTAACTATTAAAGATCCCATTCGGAGTGACGTGTTTTATCCACGTTTTATCACATACTGTGGCTTACGTTTCTACATTTGCTTCGTGCAGGAATTTGAAAAAGCGCCACCTGCATGGGAAAAACCGCGATCCTTACTTACTAAAAGAATATACATAGCTCCTTACGAAACCATGACGTTTCAACTGTCATTTTTTTTTCAACAATAACGCGCATCTTTGAAAAACAAAATAACTATTTTCCTACCTCAGTCGTTTTTGAAGGGATGATGTAGCCTCGGTAGAAAAAACAGTGTTCGGCACACAACTGCCATACATCTGGGGCTACCTTACGGTCTCTTGGGCCTGCTTTACCGGACTCTGGGGCCGCATTACAGCCCCGGAGACAATGTCACTTTTGTGACGAAAACTGCCATTTAATTACAGTTTTACTTTTAAACCTAAAAGTACTTGGTTACAACTTTATTGTGAAAAAAAGTTTTTCCATGAAAAGGCGTGTATTTTGCGGCTGAGTATGACAGTTTTTGCCCCTGGCTGCGTTAATTCAAATTACTGCATGAAGGCGTAGGGATTTTCGCTATGCGCTTCTACGGTGCTGCCCTTACTGTCGTTGATTTCCCATGTTAAATATATTATGGGGTAAAATAGTTGATGTGGCCGCCATCATCGAAAGTTCTTTACATTCTCGTAAAAATATGTGTTAAAGTGACAAGTAGCGCCAAATGACAGGCGCATAGCGAATAGGCAGCACATGGCAACATTACAAACCACTGTGAATGGAGCTTAATCGGATGTATAAGTTTTAAGAAGCCGTCATGTATATTTGGCAGATGTCAATAAATATTTTAAAAATTACTTAATTAATGATGTATATTTCACCTTTCCGTACAACCTACCTCCTTACAATTTATTTAACTAATGAAAAATAGTGGGTGATAATAACATATGCATAGACGGTGGGTACTCGTTCCCCCTTTTTTTTTTCTTCTCTAAAAGTGGGGTCTTCGTTTTGAATACAATTGATTCAATGTATAAAAAGACTACGTAAAAAGGAAAAAAACAAAAGATGATTCTAAATTATGAGCTACATTTTGTTAATTAAAATCGAGTTTCATTATTAAAAATTTTAGAATAATGTTGTACAGAAAAACAAACGACACAAAAAAGTTCAATTTTTGAAAGATCTGCAACTTTTGTGTTTAATGTGATAGGGTTAAATGTATATTTCAACGTGAGTTAATTTGTTTTATTAAACAAATTTCGAATAAATTAAATATTATTATGTTCCTTAAGGTGTCAACATAACGTTCCAAAAAAAATTAAATGTAAATTTGTATTTTTATACAACCTTTTTCTTATGTATTT